ATGATAATAATAATTGTGATGATGATGATGATGATGATGATGATGACGATGATGATGACGATGATGATGATGATGATGTTGATAATAATAATAATGATGATGATAATGATGATGATGATGAAGATGATGATAATGATAATAATAATGATGATAATAATGATAACAATAATAATAATGANTCGGCGCTATTCATGAGGCCTTTGCAACTACAAAAAAAATATTATGAATGTATAACGTAAATGTCTAGGCAGTCTAGAACATCTTAGCTATTGATCACAAATCCGTAGGAACGCTAAAAACCTGAATTTATAGGTTCAAAAGATGGCCCAAACTTAAAATAGCTGAATCTCCATAAATAATAATAATAGAGCTAGATGATGATGATGAAGATGATGATAATGATAATAATAATGATGATAATAATGATAACAATAATAATAATGATGATAAAAATAATAAAATAAATAATAACGCTAATAATAATAAGAATAATGATTATCAAAATGACAATAATAATGATGATGGTGATAATAATGATAATGGTAATGGTGATGATGATAAGACGATCCTAGATCAATAAATACCGGATTGTTGCGTGGCCATCGCGTTATATTTTTACGGCGCACTATAACCTTTACTCCGGCCAATCGATCACGATAAAAATCATCCGCGTTAACTGGGATTTGGACGGAGTAAAGACTCAATTGTTTTTAAAAGCTTATCATCGGCAACCTCGGCGCTATTCAGAAATTGCATACACTATATTAAAATACATCAACAATATCCACACACATATACGTATACTTTTATAAAACACGTACTTTACCTTACATTGCATAAACTGGCATGCCTTATCTGACCATCAACGGCTCGTTCTACTTAACCTCCGTGTCATCGACTCAACCCGTTCTACTGGCTGACTCACGAAACCATGGGCTTCGCCTTGATCCCACTCCCTTCGCGATACAACAACTTTTTATCTTGTAAATCATAAATTTAGGAGAGGGGGATGTGGTTTTTTTCTTTTTACCGATCGGCAGTGCCGAATTCATCGTTCGAAACCTTCACGAGTAGGTCAATGAGGATAGCGAGCGGTGAAACCGTTTAGTTTTCAAGGAAAAGGGGGGAAGATTGTTTTTTCATTGATTTGCTTTAAAAAAACAAAAGAAAACTTGGAAGCACGGGACAAACCTGCGATCTAGGTGAGTTATTATTCAATAACTCAATAACCCAGTACAACAATAAACCAATAGCCCATTAACCCTTATAGCCCAGTCAACCAATAACCCACTGGCTTCTTATTCTTCCGGGCTGATGCTCTGCGCAAACATCGTAAAGTCGTGACGACTGTAATACCCTGCTTTGAAAAGCTCCTTCACGCATGGTGCCGCTTTAAGGGGTAGCGCCTTTTTTTCGTTTATCTCTTTCCTTCCGGCAAACCGTGCTCCTCTTGCGGCTAGCCAACTTTCATAAAACAATGCTTTAGCAGTAACACTGATGATGATAATGATGATGATGATGATGATGATGATGGTGATGATAACAATGATGATAATTATAATAATATTAATACCAATAATAATGACAATGACGATAATGATGATGATGACGATAATAATAACGATAGTAATGATGATACTTGTAACTAAAATAATAATAATAATGATGATGGTGTTGATGCTGATAAATGTAATGAAATCCATTCATTGTAGAAATAC